CACATACAACTGGTGTTAATTTCTAGACGTCTCTGGAAATCACCTGTTCCCATTTAATAAAAAGTAATGTAGAACACTCCTTGTCCTTTGCAGTAGTCTAGTAATGGGCATTAATAATCTCTATCCTGGAAGAATGTACCTATTACTAGGTGCATTTTAGAATGAGACATTTTATTGGGATATAATTGTGGCCATATGTTTCAGATTTTCTGAGACAGACCTAATTTTAGATATTCTGTTCTGTTGCTAGACTATGTGATCCTACTTTTCAATTTTGGAAATATAATCATTATTCATATATTTTCCTAAATAGAATCCTCTTTTATCATTATAGATCATAACAGTTTTTATCCCAGACCAGGGTTGGAAACAGATATGGATATTGACTGTGTTTTTTCTTAGTGCGTTTTACTTCCCAGTTTCATCTTTCTTTAAAAATGAAATTATGGTGCCTTCTCTCCCTCCAGGAAGATTGGCAAATAGTTCCTTTTATTTACTGCTGCTGTGGAGTGATGAGATATGCACTTTAGAAGATTCAGCAAAAAACTTTTCACTTCCCAGTATATCCAGAATAGGTCACATTTGGGACTTAAGAAAATTTGCCAAGCAATCTTTGTTTTTATAGTTATTGATGTTAACCCCACAATTCAATGTTATAAGTCAAGCTAGTGTTTATCACCCCCACCCCCAAAGAAATCTGTGGCACAATATTATAAAAATGTACCTCAATAATGTTCTATTAAAAATGGGACAGGGGCCTTATGTTTTCATAATTTCTCAATAATGTGCCACCATATTTTTGCCTCAAGGTAAAAGTTTTAACAAGCTAAAAAGTACTTCCCACTTCCCCCTGTGCTGTTCCTAACCCCTAATGCCCAAGTGTTTTGTGCAATGTGTAGTATGTATGTGTAAATATATATGTATATGAACACATATACATATATTTATCCTTGAAATAGACATACCATCAGAGACAACATTCAGAAGTAACTGATGTATTGGCATCTCATTCATATTTCTGATATGTGAGGTATATGGTACTAATTACCTTTTCCCTGATGTTTGCCAAATTTGAATAAAGGCATTGGTACGAAATTCCAGAATGTATACAAAATGTTTTTGGCTTGAAAAATGAACAACTATTTTATGACATACCACAATATACTCTGCCCAAACCAGCACCATATCTATCTTTCCTGTTCTTTATATCCCTATTCCCCATATCTACTTTCTCAGTTTTTGGGGGTATAACACAATTCTTTTGTAGCATCATTATGATTGCAATTCTATGATGGACTGGTATTAATAGTACAGTAGTCACCGGTGTGCCACATTTGCATTAGTAAATGCAAAATATACATTTTATAAAGGACAAATTTTGTGTTATGTTTTTATTTTCATTACATTGTATAATATTGTAAGATTATTGTATGTCCTAATTTGCATTATAAATGTTTTTTTCCTACATAAAGGCATAAATATAGCAACTTTGTATAAAGGTAGCTTATTAGATTTTTAATTTTTTTCTTTTATATAAAATTGTCTAACAGTGGGACTACCATTGCCAAATTGTATATGAAATATGAATTTTACCCCCTATGGTTAATTTCTTTTATAAACATTCCACATTTCTCTAATAAAAGACATAAGTGATACTGTACTATGCATAAATTGTATTTTAATGCTGTTTCATAACAGCATTTTAAATTTGGTTTGCATTTTTAATATTGGCAAAATTTACCACTGTTGATTAAAACCTTGCTGTATATGTAACAACATCTTTTGCTCTCTCTTCCTCCCCACCCTTTGTTCTCTGTTTCTCCCTATCAGTGCCAACTTCATACATTTTGTAGCATGGCAATAAAATATAACTTTTACACTGAGGCCGAGTGTGGCTTTTTGGAGGATGTGGAGATGGGAGAATTACCCTCTAGTTTTTGCCATATGAACCATGTCTCCAGGCATGAGAAGTTATCTCGTATGATGTAAACATGCTTTTAAGGACAAGTGTGAATGTGCTTTTAAGTTTAATTTTTGTCATAACAAATAACTAATTTTTTAATCTTTGGAAAAGTCAGAGTTCTTGAAGTACAATCAAACCTTTAGTAACTGCAGTACTTAAAGAATATGCTAATAATTGAATTTAGTTCAACAAGGGCTAAGCAACACATTTTTAAAATCTTTTTTTTAAATCTTTACTTATTATAGAGTATTAGTATACTGTCCCAAAATTATATGTAAAATATGGTTTAATCTTAGAGGATTTAGGATCTTGTGATGGCTTACTGTTGTCATTCTGGCCTAAATTTCCATGATGAGTTACTCAAGTTGATACTGGAAGCTGAGCTGACTATACACTGACCTTAAGCATTCATGAAAAACTGCTTTGTTGAATGAAGTCTGGTTAAAGTTCTTATGGTTACTTTCCTCTTATTGATGAAAGTAGATTGCAATAAAGCCCCAATAAAAGCTTGGATACCTACTTATAGTTTTACTGTATTTTTCACACATTTCTTGAAACTATGATAAGAGGTTTTATTTCTTTGTCTCATATCACGGCCTCCATTTCAAAGTGAACATATAATGGGTTAAGGTTTATGTTTCATCAAAGTGAAATGAAATTTTAAGTATTTGACATACTCACAGTTTTAAATGTGTGATCATTCAAACTAGTAGTTCTCAGCTCTGCGTCTCCAAACCTGTTTTTAGTCACTGAGTGACACTGCAAAGCCCGTTTGGATACACTCCAGATGGAAATCATTTAAACAATGAGGGGGAAAGACAAGTCCACACACGATTGGGTGCTTATATGTGCCAGACACCATGGAACACATAATTGGTAAAAATGTGGCAGAAACCAAATCTTGGGAAATGTAGGTATTTGTTCTCAGAAGTTAAGAACTTTGCATTATTTATGTATTTTTTCTTTGAATTCCTTAGACAATAGCTATTCACATGTTTTTATGTAATAAATGAACATGAACTAGGTGCTATGCTAGTAATGAGTGTTGTCCAGATACACCAAGATTTTGGATTTGATGCCTGGTCAGGGCACATACAAGAATCAACCAATGAATGCATAAATAAGTGGGACAAGTTGATATCCAGTCTGAACACCCCTTTTCATGATAGGCCTTGGGAATAGTGTAAACCAGGGTCAGCAAACTTTTTCTATAAAGGATAAGACCATAAATACGTTAGTCTTTATGGGTGATACAGTCAGTCACAATTACTCGGCTCTGCCACTGTATAACCATTGCATTGCACAGGATGAAAAAATGAATGAGTACGCTCGTGTTCCAACCAAGTATGGTCACCAAAATATGTTGCATATAATTTTAATGTATCACGAAAGAATCAACTTTTTTTCAACCATTTAAAAATGTAAAAATCATTCTTTACTCTTGTCATACAAAAAACAGGTGGTAGGCAGGAGGGATTTGGCTCCCCATAGTTTGTCAATCCCTGGTGTAAACTAACTGGGTAGAATCAGTTAAAAATGGAACATATCTGTTGATGATAACCGCCAAGAATCCAAGAGCTTGCTCATTGTTTGGTTAATCAAAGGGAGAAAAGGGTATCAGTAGATAGAAAACGATTTTTTTTAAGGGCCCATTTAGAGAAAGTAGAAAACTTTTTGATAACTGAAATGTTTGGGATTGCTCTTGATTTCTACCAAGACATCGCGGGTATATATCAGTCATCTCTAGAAGGGGAAGGGGGGACGAGGGAAATGCAAAACCTCCTGCCCCAAAGCTAATGTCTCCGCCGCGTTCAGAGAGCCTCGTCCTGGACAGTCAACGCCCAATTAAAAACGGCATTTTAAAATTCAGTACAGGAACCTAAGTCTTCCTCCCTAATGCTCAGTAAGTAATATTAAAATTAAAATAGCAATAACAATTTTATTTAGGACACTCCCCCCCCCCCCCCCCCCCCCGAAACAAAGTTGACAAAGTTGAGGGTGGTGGCCTCTGGGGAGAGGAAGTGAGGTTGGTGAATTAGGTTGTTCATTATTAGTATATAACACTTTAATATGTATACGTGGTACTTTCAGTCAAATTTTTAAAGATTAAGTTTAAGAAAAAACTTGCCAGCAGGAACTCCGTTACTGCGGCAAACCCTGGGGCGCAGCG